CATTAAATTCCAGTGTAATATATTTATGTTTGTGGTTGTAATGTGACAAAATATGGAAAAGTTCAAGGGGTATGAATACTTTTGCAAACCACTGTATGTATCTATAAGATATAACAAATGAAAAGGTTGTTGGTAGAGAGTAAGGCACAAGAAATGATAAGAGTCTTTCTAAGAAAATATCTATACTTAGCACAAAAAGTAAGTAAATTTGTGTTTGGTAGATTGTTTCTTTGTTGTAACAATGCTTCTTGGCAACAAAGCTTATATTGTTGGAAAACCTGTTGTTTTAAATGGAGCCACATTTGTAAGGAACATGCATTTGTGGGACGAGCAGTAGAGCTGAGTGTGTGGGTTGCACCTAACAGCTTCTGTTGCTGTTGATGTTGACYCTTGTTTTTAGCTTCTGGTTACCCCAGGTGCTGCCAGTCAGGTACCCGCTGTACGATTTACTGAGCACAATGTAGAAAAGATCATTTGTTTTCCTGCAAGAATCATTTGTTACAGAACAAATTTTTGATATAAATCGACAGAAACTGACCCTTGGCTTGGACCACGTTTTGTATTTTGGCCTCCTTGTGTCACAGAGTTTGACACCCTGGATAAGAAGATGCAAATCAGGCAGTCGATTCTTATAAATCAACATAACGAGCTGTCAAATGTTTCCTTTRGTGTTCGTTTAATAAAATTAAAAAAAGCCATGAAAGTTTCCAAAAGAGGAGTCCTGCTTCTCGTCCGGCTCAGGATAGGACACCTGGGACAGGAACATCAGGACTGACATCTTCCAGGACTCTTATCATCCAAAAACACCTCCTGTGCGAAAATATTATGACTCATCCCTCAGGAGAGCTGCAGTGTTTATGAGCTGGATTAACAATGTAAAGATAAATGATCTACAGAGAGGAAACACTCATAGTTACTGAGTAATAGATTACTGAGTCATAGATTACTTTCAGGGGGTCAGCTCACCTCTCCAGTGTCCAGCAGGTGCTCCAAAGTCACGATGCCTTTACTCTTGCTCTCCGTGTCGCTCAGCAGGTCGTCCTCGGACTCCACGGCCGAGGAGCCCGTGGAGGAGACGGAGGAGCTGGACGGCTTCCTGCGCAGAGCGCGGTCACCGTAATGCTCGGCCAGCTCCTCCGGCGGGACCTCCCTGGGGGAGCCGCCCCCCTCAGGGGTGATGGTGAGCTGCGGTACCGGGGGCGCGTGCATCACCGGCGGCGGCGGGGCGACGCGCTCATCGTCGCCGCTCGACGAGGACTTCCCGGCCGGTCTTCGCTCCGAACGGGTCCGGTCGTGGAGTCCCGAGAGCCCCYGGTCCTTGGAAGACCTTCTCCGGCACTCTTTGGGCATCTGAGACGGGGAGAGGCGCCCGGAACGCGCGGAGGGAGCCGCTCCGCGTCACCCGTCAAATCTGGTCATTTCACTTTCAGACTTCAAAAAAATAAAATAATAATAATAATAACGAAAACAGAACGAAGCAGCTGGTTCTGACTTGGAGGYTGGTCCGGATCCCCCGCGGCTCGGACCTTTATCCGAAGCCTCCTGCAGACTGAGCCTGTCGGTGAGGGGAACCCCTCCAGCGGTGGCGTGGCTTCAGCTACTACGTGGTTTTCACACGACGGCTCATTTCTCATCTTCCGCATTTTCCTCTCTCTCTCTCTCTCTCTCTCTCTCTCTCTCTCTCTCTCTCTCTCTCTC